CCCTACGGGTTCGAGAACTATGTAGACATGACCGAGACTCACTTCCGGTCAATAACCAATAGCGGAACATGGATGCTCATATTGGCTCCTACATATTCTACGAAGATCTTTATCGGTCAAACCGCATAACAACATATGTTGTTCCCTTTGTCATCGGTATGTTACTTGCCTGAGATTCAATCGTCGGTATCTCAATACCTAGTTCAATCTCGTTACTGGCAAGTCCCTTTACTCGTTCTGTAATGCATCATCCCGTAACTAACTCATTAGTCACATTGCTTGCAAGGTTTATAGTGATGCGCATTACCGAGAGGGCCCAGAGATACCTCTCCGACAATCGGAGTGACAAATCCTAATCTCAATCTATGCCAACTCAACAAACACCATCGGAGACACCTGTAGAGCATCTTTGTAATCACCCAGTTACGTTGTGACGTTTGAAAGCACACTAAGTGTTCCTCCGGTATTCGGGAGTTGCATAATCTCATAGTCATGGAAACATGTATAAGTTATGGAGAAAGCAATAGCAATAAACTAAACGATCAAAGTGCTAAGCTAATGGATGGGTCAAGTCAATCACATCATTCTCTAATGATGTGATCCCATTCACCAAATGAAAACTCATGTCTATGGCTAGGAAACTTAATCATCTTTGATTAACGAGCTAGTCAAGTAGAGGCATACTAGTGACACTATTTGTCTATGTATTACACATGTACTAAGTTTCCGGTTAATACAATTCTAGCATGAATAATAAACATTTATCATGATATAAGGAAATATAAATAACAACTTTGTTATTGCCTCTAGGGCATATTTCCTTCAAGTATAAGAAAGGAACAATTCAGGATGCTTTATCCAAGAGACCAGTTGATACTCAAGAACTATTTGACTTGCCATTGCAAGCTGTATGGCTCAGTAATATTATCCAAAGTTATTGAAAAGATGTGGAAGAACAGAAACTTTTGCAACAATTGATAGTGAGCCCAACTTCAAAACCTCCTTACCAGCTCATTAATGGCTTGATTAGATATAAAAAATGTATTTGGATTGGTAGCAACACTGAATTGCACACAAGAATTTTCCTGCCTTCGATGAAAATCCAGTGGGTGGACATGCTGGTTTCCTAGTTACTTATAGAAGAATTGTGGCATTTTTCAAGACTTCAAGTGGAAGGGCAAGAAGAACTTCATAAGATTGCAAGTGCAATCTTGTCTAATTTGTCAAAAAACCAAGCCAGAAAGAGTCAAATACCCAGGTTTGCTTTCCCCACTTCCTATTCCAAGAAAAGCTTGGGATACTATGACCATGGATTTGATTTCCGGCCTTCCTGTGTCCTATCAATATAATTGCATCTTAGTGGCCATAGAAAAGTTCTCTAAGATGGGCCATTTCATGCCACTTAAGCACCCCTTCAATGTCCAAAAGGTAGCGGAAGTGATCCTGGATAATGTTTATAAGTTACATGGCATGCCTAGACTTATTATTTGTGATAGAGATCCTATTTTTACCAGTTAATTTTGGAGGATTTTGATTTCTAGAACAGGCGCTAAGTTAAATATGAGCTTTGCATATCACCCAAAGATTGATGGCCAAACTGAAAGAGTAAATCAATAGATTAGTGTTTCCTAAGATGTTTCCTTAGTGCTCATCCAGTTAAGTGGAGTAAGTGGTTGTCTCTTTGTGAATTTTGCTACGGTACAAATTGGCATTCTGCAGTGGGCAAGTCTCCTTTTGAAATCAGATATGGCCAGCATCCCAGACAGTTTGGAATCCATGAATCTTATGTTATTGCCCAGTTGATTTACAGTTGTGGTTGGAAGATAGACAGGTAGTGATAGAATCTATCAGACAACATTTGTTGAGGACTCAGCAGAGAATGAAAAATCAGGCATATAAGAACATAACTAAGAACGTGTTTGCAATTAGTGACTAGGTTTTTCTCAAGTTACAACCCTATGTGCAATCTTTAGCGGTTCACATGGCTAACCATAAGTTGTCCTTCAAGTTGTGTGGGCCTTATAAAATTCTGGAACAAACGGATGTCGACACGCGATGGTCAACAAACTCAACTTCTCTTCGATCGGTGCTCTTCTCCTATGAGCTATAGCTAGATCAGTTTGGCCTCTCGGATATATGTTGCGATAAGGTATTTTTGCTTTTGCACTCGATCGGTGGCTTCAACTCTTGTTCGGTTATCAGCTAGCGCTTGGTTTGGCCAAGGTGGGGTGGGCGAGCTGATCGATCGGCATGGCCAAGTGGTGTCGCGTCACTCTCCTCATCCAAGGAGAGGTTGCATATCGACTGGAATTACCTTCTACGAGCAGAATTCAGCCAATTTTCCATGTGTTCTCAGCTGAAGAAGTTTGTGTCACATGCAATCCCAGTCTAGAAAACATTGCCATCTCCTCTCTCTTGTCTATGGGTTTCTGTTTCAATATTGCAGCGTCGAGTTCGTCAAGAAGGCCATCGTATAGTTGCTCAAGGGCTCGTCCATTGGAGTAATTCTTCACTGTCGAGAAGCTACTTGGGAGGGCATTGATTCTCTTCGTCAATAATTTCCTCGGGCTCCGGCTTGAGGACAGGCCGTAACTCAAGGAGGGGGATGTCAGCGCACCTTTCGGCAATGACCACCCGACAAGTGTACTGCCCGACAACGACCGTACCACCTTCTTCGGTTACTGGACATCGCCCGGCAACGACAATGGAAGCAGTAGGAACAAGACCTTGCCCGGCAACGACAACAGAAGCAGCGGGAACAGGACATCGCCTGGCAACAACAATAAAAGCAGCATGAACAGTATGTCAGGATATCGCCCGGCAACAACAACAAAAACAGTGAGAACAAGTCGAAATGAGGAAGGGCCAGTGGGCCGGCTCAAGAAAGGCAAGTTGAAATCTAGGAGGATAGCAGGACCGGAATGGATCTAGACTCCAACGGCTAGTTGGTATATATATATGTGCGTACGTGCACTGTAATAGTTGGCTAGGAATTGGTTGGTTTCGATCTGGCTTGTTAGAGCATCTCTAGCAGAACCACAGTTAGGCATTTTAGAAGATATTCAACTTTCATAACTGCTTCCACTAGTTGGACCAATATCTTCTCTATGTATTCGTTGTTGCTCTGCGGATTCTTGATCTTGCATTCTTCATTCTTCTTCTTTGATTCTAAAGAAGTAGATGTTGCTTCCCCTCTGGTTCCTTCTCTAATTGCACATGCAGCCGCATCATTACCCTCAATTCTACCAAGGAGTGCACGAACATCTATTAAGTTTCTTTCTATCAATAAATCAACGTATTCTCCTTCCCAAAACCAAAATGAGCATCCATCTTCCTACACACATGACCATCTCAATAAGTTATCGAAATCGAACTGAATAGGTTGACAAAGCCGAATGAAAACAACATACCCCGTCGTTTTAGCATTTGAAGAATACCCATCCGGGGTGGTTCGGCATGCTAGATGTTAGCCACAGCACTGTCCGCATCCAGTCGTCGCACTGTATGAGCGGCATCGACGAGCCGGCGAACCGCTGCGCGAGCGTCGAGCCCGGGCGACAGCCGGCCGAATCCTTGCCGGCAAATCGATGATGGCGGATAGAGGACGAACCAGTGGCTTTGTCGAGGCTGCGTGGGGTGCTCCCCAACCAATCCATGGCTTGGCGCAGCCACCGGTGGCCGAAAACGCCAAATCGGCGGCCGCGACAAGCAGCCATGTATCTGCAACTTTCTGGCCGGTCGAGGTAGGAGGAAGTGATGGATGACAATCTCGAGCGTGT